GTGAGGAGTTGGGGATGCCGCTGAGCAAGCCTCTGGTTCAAGGGGCTCTCAGGGGAGGAGCAGGGAGGGCGGGTCAGGAACTGCGTGGCCCCTTTCCCAGATGGGCGGTGCAGGCATGGCAGGGTGGAGGGGCCGCCAAGGGCCACGTGGAGCCAGCACCAGAACCCAAGGCGCCATCCCCGCCGTGAGGGCTGCAGGGGAACAGCAGAGCGGCTCTGGCTGGAGGACCGTGTCGGTTACTGTCCAGACCGCAGCCTTTCTGAGAACGACTGGCTTCTCTGGATCATGAGGCTGGGTATCCAAAGCAACTGAAAGCCAGGACTCAAAGAGATCCTCGTACACCGGGTTCAGAGCAGCGTTATCCACAGCAGCCGAAAGCCGGGACAAGTCAGGTGTCCACTGACGGGTAAATGGATAAACCATGGACTGTCATTCAGCCTTAAAAAGGAAGGAAGGTCTGACACCTGCTACATCATGGATCAATCTTGGGGACATCAGGCTGCGTGAAGGCAGCTGACACAAAGGGACAAATGCTGTGTGAGTCCACTTGTCTGAGCTCCCTGGAGTCGTCGAATTCACGGTCAGGAGGTAGAATGGAGGCTGCCAGGTGGGGACCGGGGGGCATGTTCAGTGGCGCAGAGTTCCTGCCGCGGATGAGGGAGAAGATGTGGAGATGGATGTTGGTGATGGTCATGCACCATTGCGAATGTACCCGAGGACGCTGAAGTGAACACTGAACATGCTTGAAATGGTCAGAATTTCACGTAATGCATACGTCACCACAATAAAGAAAATGATTCGGCTGGAAAGGAGGCGTTAGCCAGGGTGTGGGTACCCCCGCCTGGGTGGCCGCTTGGGCCGTCCTTACATGGAGGGGGGTGAAGTGTGGTGGGCAGTGATGCTTCCCTGGGCCTGGAGGCTGGAGGTGGTCCTTTGTGACCTTGAGTAAGTTACTTAACTTCTCTGAGTGTGAGTCTTCCACTTTTAAAAACTGGGGCTCCCTCTTGCTCTGTTTATCTGACGAAGGTGTCCGTCCAGTCATCTTGGACGTAAATGTGAAACCTCTTATTTTTCTGTTAAGAACTTCCCTTTCCTATTAATAGCATCCGATGTAGTTTGTGTGTGAAACAAAAATTTAGGTGACAGGCTGTGAGAAAGAGTGAGGCCTCAGCCCAGGGCAAGGGTCACTGGGGGCCGTGGTTTGGACACAGGTCCTGGGGGCTGTTCAGGAGGGGCAGCCGTGCGCGTGGGTCTGACCGCCGTCATGTGGAGGGGCTGTGGGCCAGCCTGGGCGGCAGAGCCCCTGCCCCACCCCAAGAGGGGAGACTCCCAAGGCCCCAGTCATCCCACGAGTCCTGAGTGAGTGTCCTCTCTCCGTGTGGCTCTGGGGGTCCCACAGGTCATTCCATCCTCACTGGAGTTCCTGCTCTGCCGCCCATTTCCAGTGGCATTTCTGAAAGAACCACTCTGGGGCCTCAGTTTCTCCATCGGTAGAAGGCACGGGACGGACTAGAATCGGTGTTGCCCTGTGTGGTGATTGTTCGCCGCGTGGAGCTGTTTAAATTTAAGCTGATTATAATTAAGTAAAATGAAAATTCAGTTCCTCAGTGGACTAGCCACGTTTCAAGTGCTCAGAGGTCACATAGGAAAACAGTTGGCAGTTCTTCAAACAATTAAAAACACCACTACCCACGACCCAGCAGTCCCACTTCCTGGTGTAGACCCGACAGAACTGAGAGCAGGGTCTCTGGGAGGTCTTTGCATGCCCACGTGCACAGCAGCGTTATTCACAACAGCTGAAACGTGGAAGCAGCCCACATATCCATCGACAGGTGAGTGGATATGCAAACTGTGCTCCATCCACACAGTGGAATATTACTCAGCCTTCAAAAGGAAGGGAGTTCTGACACCTGCTACAACATGGATCAACCTTGAGGACATTATGCTCAGTGAAACAGGCCAGTCACAAAAGGCCGAATACTGTAAGATTCCACTAATATGAGGTCCCTAGAGTCGTAGGTTCATAGAGACAGAAAGGAGGATGGTGGGGCCTGGGGGCTGGAGGAGGGGGTGGGGAGTGAGTGTTTAATGGGGACAGAGTTTCGGTTTTGCAAGATGAAAAGGGTTCTGGAGGTGGACGATAACGACGGCTGCACAACCACGTGAATGTGCTTAACACCGCTGACGTGTACGCTCCAAGTGGTTAACATGGTAAATTTTATGCTGTGTGTATTTTACCACAATTTAAAAAAAAGTCACATGTGGCTACCATATTGGGCAGCGCAGCATAGGACTTGCCATCATAGAGGAAATCCTGGTGGATGGTGCTGGAGTCGCTGGACTGTGCTGCCTCCCGGGTGGCTGGAGCCCCGTGGCTCTTCTGGAGAGCAAGCCTTCAGAGAAAGTGTCTCGGGCCAAGTTTGCCCGACAGGCCTCTGCTTTTCCCACGTGGGGGTCCTGAAGGCCGCCCCCAAGCCTCTCAGCCAGGTGGAAAGAAGGGATCTCCTGTCACCCCTTCTGTCCATGCCTGCCGCCGTCGGCCAGCCGGCAGGGCAGAATGGAGGTAGCTTGCAGGAGGCATCCCAGAGGAGGGCCTTGAAGGAACGACCCTCCCCTGTGCCGAAGGCCAGGCCTCCTCAGTCGGTGGGGAGGGTGGGATGGCACATTTGTGTAGTATTTCTCCAGCAGCCCTGGTGGGCAGGATGCTGGCTCTGGGTCGGGTTTCTGCAGTGGACACTGGTGCCTGTGGAGGGGGCCAGCTGGAGCTGAGGCCGGAAACCCCCTCCCTGCTGTCCCCAGGGCCCGTGGGGGGAAAGGAGGGGGGCTCAGGGGCAGCCCGTACTGCTCGGGTCAGGGTGGGGGGGGGTGTGGAGGAGAGGTGGGGGTGGGGCAGGCCCAGGCAGAGTGGCTCCGCCGACAGATGGAAGCAATTTTCAGTCACGTGGGGTGGGGCTGAACTGCTGCCCCGAGAAGCGAGCCCCCCCGGGTGTCTGTCTCCAGGAAGCAGCCTCAGAGCCCCACGTTCAGGGCCAGGGGTGGTGCTCAGCTCTGTTTAAGATGCTGGAGCCCATCTCTGATTGTTTAAGATGCTGGAGCCCAGCGGAGAGTATTTCTGAGGAGGAAGCTGGGCCTCCGCCCGGAATGGCCTTCCCTGGGGGGGGCTGGGGTCGGGGTGGGGCTGGGCAGCGTGGAGCCCATGGCCTCAAGCTTGTGTCTGTTGGTGACATGTTAGAGGGAGATGGGCGGCCCGGGTGCGGTGCTGTGCCAGAGGAGCCACGCTCTGTCCATCTCAGGAAGCGGGTAGTTAAGTGACTGGCTGTGAGCATAGATGGCCCACACCCGTTTCTGGGATTTGTAAGCCAGTTGTCCTTGTCCCTGTTCTCTTGGTCCAGCCCTGCTGTGGGCCTGGGCAGAGGGAAGGGTGCTGGTCCGCCTCGGCTCCTCTGAGGCTCCTGTGAGACAGGTGGCTGCTGGGTCTGCGAGCTGGCTGGGCCTGCGGGGGCTGCGGGGGGGCAGAGTCTGGTTATTTCCCCAGGAAGTGGGAACAGTCTGTCTGAAAGCCTCGCAGTGACCTTCTGGCCTGGCCCGCTGAGTCCGGGCTTCGTGGGGCCAGGTGGGACTGGGGGGCAGGAACACCGCTTGTCCACCCTGGCAGTGGAGTGCACCTGCCACCGCAGCTCGCGTCTGGGGGCTGATGCCCAGGGAGCTCAGCAGCCCCTCGCTGCAGGTTCACCGGAGCGGCCGGCGGGGCCCGGGGAGGCAACAGGACACACCGTGTGGTCCCTTCGCGTGAGCTCAGGGTGCAGCAGAAGAGAGCTCCAGTCGCCCCTGGGAGCTAGGATGGAGCCGAAAGTTCCTGGTGGGCGGAGGGGGTGGGAAGTGCCTGGACCCGCTGGGACAGGGAAAGGTGACCCAGAGAAGCCCCTGGGCGCCGAAAGGATGGCCGAGGGAAGGTGTGGTGAGGGCATGTGGTTGAGGCAAGTGGCAGTGTGCTATGTCTGGGAGTGCACCGGGCACGGCTGATGTGCTCCAGCCAGGCCCTGGTGGGGAACTCCACTGTCTGGAGCACCCTGGCTCAGTGGTCCAGTGGGTGCCGTCTGGGCGCCCCTCCCACCTCCAGGTCTCTGACCTGGGCATGTGGACTCTTGAGGGCAGCCAGGGGAGGGGCTGTAGAGAGAAGGAAGGTTCCGGGCTGCAGACCACAGAACCTGTTATTCTGAGAAGCCCAGCCCCCCTGCCAGTCTGCAGACCTGAAAGCAAAACCTGGCCCTGTCCTGTGGGCGTGGGGCCTCCGAGAAGTCGGCCACCTGGATCCGGCCCAGGGCGGGAGACGGGGGCAGTGCCCCCAGCAGCTGTCTAGGGGCCCTCTCCCGCCAGCCACCCCGGGGAACAGCTGGGCTCAAGAGGACCCTCGAAAGAGGCCCCCAGCGCTCTCTCTCCCACCCCAGGGCTGTGGGTGCGGGGAGGGCAGCTGGGATTGAGCAGGCCCTGCCCAGGAGTGGCAGGAAGGAACAGGTGCTGGTCTCTCCCTCCGTTCTTCCGAAGGCTGTCCCGCCCTGAGGCCTCAGGCTGTGGCAGGTGTGGGTCTGTTCGAGTCAGGTGCAGGCGGTGGGGAGGGCCCCCCTGGGTGCCTGGCAGGGTGGAGGCAGGGACAAAGAGCATTCTGCACCCTTGGGCGAAGCTCAGGCGAGGGAGGCTGAGGAGGGTTCAGGGGTCACCCTGGCCTGGAGCCAAGGGAGGGGCAGGCTGGTGGAGACGGTTTGAGAGTTTGGGGCGGGGGCGCTCTGTGGCCAGCAGAGTGGCTGCAGGACGGTGCACAATAAGTGCAAAGGGCTTCGGCCCTGGGGCGTTCTGTGGGGGGGTCTCTTGGGCAACCGAGCCTCAGTTTCCCCATGTGAGAGATGGGGATGGTGTTTGGCTCCACCTAAGGATGTAGGTGCTTGGCAGATGCTTGCGTAGGACCCCCATCAGCCCTCACGCCCCTGCTCCTCTTTCCGCAGCCACTGAGGCAGCTCCTGGCTGTGTTGGCGACATGGCCGACACCCCCAGAGACGCCGGGCTCAAGCAGGTGCCCGCACCGCGGAATGAGAAGGCCGCCGTGGACTTCGGCTATGTGGGGATCGACTCCATCCTGGAGCAGATGCGCCGGAAGGCCATGAAGCAAGGCTTCGAGTTCAACATCATGGTGGTCGGTGAGTCCCGCTCCACCACCACTCAGAACCCACGCAGGGACCCGGCACGGCGCCGGCCACACAAGCTCAGTGGCTCAGTCTCCTCTTCTGTAAGAGGGGGTGACAGACCCGGCCTGCGGGACAGGTAGTGAGAGGCACTGTGTGTGCATGCGTGTGCCTGCGAGGAGGGTCCCCAGCGCCTCTCGGCTCCTCTCATTAAGATCCCCTGAGATAGGGGCTGGCTTGGTGGCCTAGTGGTTTGGCATGCTCCACTTCAGCAGCCCGGGTTCGCTTCCCAGGAGCAGACCTACACCACCTGTCTGTCAGTGGCCATGCCATGGCAGTGGCTCACATACAAAAAGAAAAAAACGAACCCTTGAGAGAGTTCCGGTAGGCCTGGCGCTGGGCGTGGGCAGGCACTCAGTAAACAGCAGTTCTCTGACCAGTGGGCTCCACTTTCTGCTTTTAGCAGAAGTGTTCCCCTGGCTGTCAAGCCCTGGACTTAGCCCTGGGTGGGGCTGACCCCCACGCCCAGCAGGCCTGGCTGGAGGCTTCCTGGTGGCCCCTGGAGAGCTGGATGGTCACTGGGGGAGGTCACTGATCAGCCCAGCCCAGACAGGGTCGGAGGCCGGGTTGTGGGGAGCAGTGGGCAGCCCCTCAGGTCCCATTCCGTCCTCACAGTGGGTGGTATCCCACTTTACAGGTGGAGACAAGGCCCAGAGAGGGCATGACAAGGTTCCTCTGCTTGCAAGGGCAGAGAGAGCAGGAGCTGGTTCCTCTCCCTCCCTCCCACACAGTGCCCCCACCGCAGAGATGCAGCCAGGGTGGAAGGGTGTCTGTTTGGGGTCCACAGACCAGGGGCAGCATCCCGGCTTTGCTCCAACCCAGCTGCGTGGTGCTGGTCCTGACTTGCCTGGGGCTTCTGCCAGCCTCGGTTTCCTTGTCCATGAATGGGGTAATCCTGACCCCTCAGGGCCAGCAGGGACAAGTGGGATAACGGGTTCAGCCCGAGGCATGGTGATAGGGGCAGGAGAAGTTGCAGAAGCAATAGGAATGATGGTGACGGTAATAAAAATAATAATACTAATATCGGGATAAACTAAAATATTCTGGTGGTGTCGCCCAGATGTAAGGGGCGTGGCTGGAATATTTGACATAGCTCCCGGCCTGAGCTTGGCCAGGACACAAAACAGGTGGGCAGAGGGGAGAGGGCATGCTCTAGAGCTTGGGCCAAGGATTCCCGACACCGGCCTCTGCCTCCTGGAGCCCACACTTTTCCTTGGAAGGTTATTAGAGTCGGAAAATCAGTATAATTTAATTTTTAAAAATATGATGGTTGGCACAGCCTAAGGCAGCTGAGCGCAGGGGCGAAGCGATGGGGCTCCGAGTCTGGAGTCGTGTGTGAGTGGGTGTGTGTGCGTGTGAGAGTGCACCCACCTGTGCTGAGGTGCACCTGGTACACAGTAGGCACTTTATAAATGTTGGCAGCCATTCCCACTATCTCTGAGGTAGAAGGCCATGGCTGGGGTCCTGCAGCCGGGTTGCTGGGCTCTAATCCCCACTCTGGGCTCTGTGCCTCAGTTTCCTCCTGCATCAGGTGGGACAGTGACGGCCCCTGGTGGTGAGGGTGAGCTCCTGCATGTAGGACAGCGCCTGGCGCCCAGGTGTGCTGTGTGAATGGAACCTGCTGTTGGGCGGCAGCGAGGCAGGCCCTAGATTGAGGGTGATTTAGAACAGGGGGCACCTTCCTGTCACAGCTGGGTCCAGGTCCCTGCCCACTGTGCTTCTCTGCCCTTTTCCCCCCTGCTGTGGCAGGGGCTCAGGGTGAGGCAAGGTTTGGGCGCGCAGTAGGGCCACAAGTGCTTCTGAGGCTCCGGGTGCCTGGGAGTCACAAGGGGGCATGGCTGATGCCTGGGGGCTCACTGGCCACTCAGGCCCTAGCTGCAGGGTCTGTTGACGTGGGCGCCAGCCAGCGGCTGTCCCTACCCTGGCAGCGAGGCACAGCTGCCCACCGTCTGGGGGCCCCGGTCAGCCTCCTGTGCCAGAAGGAGCTGACCCAGTGGCTTTTCACCAAACCCGGCAGTAACTCGACTGTAGGCTGTGCATGCTGAGTGTGCGAACACTTCAACCCAGGTGACCTCAGAGGCTGGGAGCCCAGCCCCGGGCTTTAGACCGGAACCCTGCTGTGTGGCCCAGCCACGGTTCGATGGTGGCACGTTCGCAGACGCTCCCTCCATGGGGGATACAGACCCTCCCTTCTGGGGTCCTGGGGCGGGTGCTCTCTGCAGAGCTTTCCTGTCAAACCTCATGTGGATCCCAGTGTGTCCAGCAGCTAAGAATGGAGCTGCACCAGAGGGGCCAGCCCCCACCCCACCTCCCGACCCTGTTCTGCATCTCAGCTCCCCTTGGGAAGCCCGGGACCCTGCACGGGGCACTCTGACAACCCCTGTGGTCAGAAAAGCTGGGGTCCGGGTCCTGCCCTGCTACAGTGTGCCACGGGAACTCAGCCACCGGCCCTCCTGGCCCTTCCTGTCTCCTGACTAGCCCCTGACCCAGAGCACTCCCTGCCCCAGGAGTGCTGGGGTTAGGGGGACGCCCAGACTCCCCTGAGTGGCAGGGCCCATGACCCGCCCTCTCCGGAGAGCCCGCTGACCAGCCCTGTTCTCTCCCCAGGGCAGAGCGGCTTGGGGAAGTCCACCTTGATCAACACTCTCTTCAAATCCAAGATCAGCCGGAAGTCGGTGCAGCCCACCTCGGAGGAGCGCATCCCCAAGACCATTGAGATCAAGTCCATCACGCACGGTGAGCGCGGGGTGTGCGGTGGTGACGCCTTCTTCCTTCCTGCTGGGTCAGGCCCCCAGGTCCCCTGAGCTGGGGACTCGAGGCAGCGTCTCAGCGTCTCTGGGCATGTTAACTGCGGATCAGGGGTCAGGGGTCAAGGGTGCTTTCCAGGACCCTGAGGGCCCAGTTGGACCAAGCCCCCTGGAGACGAGTGAATTTTGCACCCACGCTCATGGGCAGGGGCCTACCCAGGATAACTGTCACCAGCCCCTGCTGGACTTCACTGCTAAAGGCCGTGGCCTCCCCGGCGTCACCTGGGTGTCATTGAGGGTCACCCTGGGCACCCCAGGGGGCCTCGTTGGGCAGGTCGGTCAGGCGTCAGGTGTCTTTAAGGGTCCTGCTCCCCCCTGAGCTCGGTGGGCGCTGCAATTCTCTGCAGATATCGAGGAGAAGGGTGTCCGCATGAAGCTGACCGTCATCGACACGCCGGGGTTCGGGGACCACATCAACAATGAGAACTGGTGAGAGGCTCCGGGGGCCTGTGGGCTGTGGGGGCCCCTCCTCCAGGTGGAAGAGCATAACGGGGGTGCTGGGGCCTGTCTCCTGGGCCGGAGGTACCGCTCAACCCCGAGAAGCCCCAAATCCTGACTATAGCAGAGCTCCTTGGAATCTTGTCCTTCCCCCAGCCACCCCTGGGAGGCTGGTCTGGGGGCTCTGAGATAAGGCTGTGGCCTCTGCTCAGAAAGTCAGACATGCCCAGCGCGTGTACTAGAGGACTGGGCGTCGGGCCGGCAGTCAGGGCGTTAGTGACCGGGGTGAGGACGGGGGGCGCTGTCCCCGAGCTCGGGCAGGAGGGTGTCTGCAGGTGGGCTGACCCTGGCCTCTGCGCAGCTGGCAGCCCATCATGAAGTTCATCAACGACCAGTACGAGAAGTACCTGCAGGAGGAGGTCAACATCAACCGAAAGAAGCGCATCCCGGACACGCGCGTCCACTGCTGCCTCTACTTCATCCCTGCCACCGGCCACTCGTACGTCCCACGCGCGGCCCCGTCCTAGGGTTGGGCTGTCCCGGGCTCTGTCCCCTCAGGACCGTCAGAATGCCTCCACGGTGCTGCCCGCCCCGGGCTGGGCGCAGAAGGCTGCATGGGACATGGTCAGCAGCCATGGGTCGTGACGAGGCCACACGTGTGCCCCCCGTCTCATCCTGCCCTCTACCCTGTGTGGTGTCCCGCCCTCTCTCCTCCCTGCAGCTTGGGTGGGCCCGCGGGTCCTGGAACCTGGCCGCCTGTGTCTTGGGCCGGGCCGTGCTTCTCAGTTTGCTCGTTCTGGCCTGGCTTTGGCAGGTCCATTGAGACTCCTGAGCTATGCATCCTTAGCATTCCCTGACCCTCTCTGTGCCGGTTCCAGTCTATTAAGTGGGCACTGGTGCAGGGAGCCCGGGGCTTGGGGTCCCCCTCCCCACAGGCCCCTGTTACAGGAAGAAGTCCAGCTGGAGGTAGCCAGCCTCAACTTGGGGTCTTTATGGGCAAACCAAGCCTGGGTCCCCGAGCCCACACTCAGCAAGGGTCTGTTCAGGGCCAGGGAGGCCGGGCTCGCTGGACAGGCACCAGAGCAGGGGTCTGTCTATGGGCGGACCAGCCATGCAGGGCTTTAGCCATGACCAAACATCTCCCCTCCCTGTGGGACATAAGGGCTCACCTGAGGGTCCCAGGGCAGTTGTTTTGGCTGCTCCAGGCTTCACCTCCACTGAGGCCGGTGGTGGGAAGCAGAGGCCCCAAGATGGCACTGGCAGGGCGCTGAGGGCTGGCAGGCAGTGGCGTTTCTGCCATGACCCAGCGGGGCGCCGTGCCCCCTTCCCGCCCCAGGCCTGCGAGACAGGGCTGGCTCTTCGCCATCCTAGTTCAGAGCCCCACGCCCCTTCTGTGACTTGCTCTCGGCGTGGGGAAGAGCAGCGCAGCTCTGCTCCAGGGTGGGGAGATGGTGCCCACCACTCAGGTCTGTGGCACCTTTCCCGAGTCAGACACGGGCACGCTGGAGCCGGTGGCGAGGGGCTGGGGCGCCCTGGAGAGGTGCCAGGTGCTTGCTCCCACGTCTCCATCCTCTCCCCTCCCAATCGAAGCCCCACAGCCCAACGGCCATCTGAACTGGTGGCAGACGGGGCAGATGGCAGCCCCTCTCTGAGTGGACACCTTGGGGGCTTTGGGACCCGGAACTCACAGATGAGGATGCTGGGAGCCTGCCTGGCCCCAGCGCCCCCCGCCCATGCTTGGTGGTGCTTGTGTCCAGGGCCGTCCTTTTCCTTTGTCCCTGCCCCTCCCTCGCAGCCTGGCTCAACCCACAGCCTTGGCCATTTCGGCATGTGCCTCCTACCCCAGGAGCCCCTCACAGGCACCCCTAGGGCCCCTCCCTCAGCTCCATTCAGGCCCCCGGCCACACCTCCTTCACGGAGCCGCATCTCACCTGCATTGTCGTGTTCCAGCCTCAGGCCCCTGGACATCGAGTTCATGAAGCGCTTGAGCAAAGTGGTCAACATCGTTCCGGTCATCGCCAAGGCCGACACGCTGACCCTGGACGAGAGGGTCTACTTCAAGCAGCGGGTAGGGCTCTCCCCCTCCGCCCGGCCCCCGGCCCCCGGCCCCCTGCCCTGGGTGAGAGCGAGGCCGGGGAGGGGCTGTCAGACGAGGCATGCCTGTTTTTTATCAGATGGGAGAGAAAGTCCAAGAGGGAGGGTCTCCACCAGGCACTTCTCCCGCGGGAGCTGCTGCTTCCTTCCCTCTCACGGTGCCAGTGTGGCTGCGTGGGGGGCTGTCCGAGCAGACGGGCGGGCCTGGGCTGCTGCTGTCTAACAGGGCCGCGCATCAGGACCGGCTGGGAAACTGGAAAGATGGAGGGGCCTGGGCGCAGTGGGCCTCTGCCTCAGTGAGCGGGAGCACAGCCCTCGAATCTAATCCCCACTCATGGCTCTGCCGTGAGCCGGGCACCAGGGATTTTCCCAGCATGCCTAGGGAAGGATGGTCCACTGTGCTCTCGGTGTGTCCACCAGAGGGAAAAGGGACGAGAAAGCCCTCGAGGCTGCCCACGGGCTTGGGTCTGTGTTCAGGGCAGCAATGACCCTGCTCACAGGGATGTCATTGACTGAGCATCATCCATGTTGGCAGCTGTGCCTGGGAAGGGTGGTGTCAGTTTGTCGCAGGCAGGTGCACTGTGCAGGTGTTCGGGGCGGCAGTGAGAGGGTTCCAGGCAGAGCTCAGGAGGGGAGGACTCGGCCGACTGCATCATTTTCCTGGGCGTGTGAAGAGCTGAGAGGGAAGACAGGGCGCTGGGGACAGTGACCGGCTCGGGCAGCTGCAGGTCTGTCTCAGGGCAGGCAGGGCTGCAGCTGCCCCTCCTCCACTCGGAAGCGCAGGAGTTGGAGAGTGTCCAGGTCACCAGCCCCCACAGCCCGCCCTTGACCCTGAGCCTGGGGCCGCTCATGTTGCGGAGGTCATGCAGAGCGCGGGCGGATACTGACGGGCCGGGCTGGCGTGCTACATGCACGGGGCCCACATCTCTCCCCTCTGGTCCCCAGATCACGGCGGACCTGCTGTCCAACGGCATCGACGTGTACCCGCAGAAGGAGTTTGACGAGGACTCAGAGGACCGGCTGGTGAACGAGAAGTTCCGAGTGCGTGCTAGGCCGGGACGCGGTTCCCAGAGGCCCCTCGTTTCTTGCTGGAGGGGATGGGTGGGGGGTCTTCCTGCCCTAGCAGGGGGTCTGGGGGAAACGGGTAGGATGGCCTTGAGCCATGAGAACCTGTCCTTTGGGCTGGATGTCAACAGAGCCTGAATGTCCACATCTGGCCCTCTCAGGCCAAGGGTCTCAGTTCTTGGGGCCCCAGGCTCAGGGCAGCTCCTCCCAGGGGTCCAGAGGTTGGACTGGCCTTGTCCGCACCTGTGGCCAATGCCCCCTGCCCCTCCCCCAGGAGATGATCCCGTTCGCCGTGGTGGGCAGTGACCATGAGTACCAAGTGAATGGGAAGAGGATCCTTGGAAGGAAAACCAAGTGGGGCACCATCGAAGGTAACCGCCAGGCGGGCACCTGGGGCTTTCAGACAAACCACAAAGAGAAAGCTGCTTCTGCTGACCGAGACTACGCGTCAGGGCCTGAGCTGGGCACTCAGCACCTCATCTGTTGTATTGCCACCCAGCCACCCGGATGAGTCCTCTTGGGGAAATGAGGGTGGCTTGGCCAGGGCCCACAGCCATTAGCTGACAGAGCTGTGTCTCCACCCCAATATCCCATGGGTGCGGAAATATCCAGGGAGGGACTAGGGTGGGGACTGCCATGTTCTGGGTTCTGGTGCTGGTGTTTCATAGGCATGCTGTGTGACCCTGGACAAATTGCCTCACCTCTCTGGGCCTAGGAAAGGGCTGGGCTATATATAGGTCTGTCCAGCTCTGAGAACCAGACAGCCCTCCCACTTCAGAAGTTCCCAGGACCCCCACGTTGTAGTATCCCATGACCTGTGGGGCAGAGGGGCTCATCTGAGGGTCCCACGGCAGCTGGTCTGTCTGCTCCAGGCTTTGCTTCTGTTAGGACAGACTCAGAAGCTTCAAACAACAGAAATGTATTCTCTCGCAGTTGTGCAGGCCGAAATCAAGGTGTGGGCAGGGTTGGCTCTGGGGACAATCTGTCCCAGGTCCTCTTGTTCTGGTGGCTCCAGGCGGTCCTGGGCGTCCCTTGGCTTGTAGTTGCATCCCTTCAGTGTACATCTTCACGTGGCCTCTCCTCTGTGTGTCTGTCCTTCCCTCTTCTTATAAGGACATTTGTTGCTGGTGGTAGGGTCCACCCTAAATCTAAGGTGATCCCCTCTTGAGATCCTTAATTGAATTAATGTCTTTAAAAACTCTTTCCAAATAAGGTCCCGTTCGCGGGTACCGAGGGGTGGGAGTTGGATGTGGTTTTGGGGGGACACAGTTCAGCCCACTTCCGGTGGAAACACCCTCCGGGATGCACCTGGGCAATTTTCACTCTTCCTCTCTGCTCCTTCCTCCCTCTAGAGCGGAGGAGGGAAAAGGACAGTGAGATGGGCCGCTTTGTCTCTTGTTCAAGGCCCAACACAGAGAAGGAAGCAGAAGGTCACAGCAGCTGCAGCCCCCCTACCCCCCGCTCTGTGAACATGGGCAAGTCCCTTAGTCCCCAGAGCCTCAGTGTTCCCCCTCTGTAAGGTGGGTACTTCCTGCCAAGAGTGTAGTCAAATGAGAAAATGTGCTGAAGACTGCTGGAGTTTTTGGGGAGCAGTGGCTCCAAGAAATGATCGTAATGAAAACTGCCGGGCTTTGAGCCCTCCCCGGGCAGCTCGTTCTACACCGATTGTCAGTAAGTCCTCGGGGCTCCCTGCAGCAGTACTGGCACCTTCTTAAAGAAGGGAGGTTGCAGAGGCCAGAGGTCCTGCCCAGGGTCCCAGAGTGGGCGGCGGCTCCAGAACCTGTGGGTCCGCCTGCACTGGCCTCCAGCTTGGGGGAGGGGTGGAGAGGACACGCCCCCAGAGGACGGACCAGTGCTCGGCCAGGACGCTGTTCCCAGAGGCTCCTCATTTCTTGCTGGAGGGGATGGGTGGGGGGTCTTTCTCGGGGTCCCCGCGTGGGTGTTTTTCTAAACCAGGCTCTGTCTCCAGCGTCTGCTGTGCAGGCTGCCTTTCCGCAGCTCTCCCCTCTGCCAGGAGTCTTGACCCCAGAAGTGTCTCTGGGGCCACTCACCTCCCTGTCCCCCCAAGACAGCCTCACTCAGGCTCTGTCCTGGGCTCATCCTGTCTTGGCCTCTCTTCCATTTCCTCTCTTCCTGGAATCTTGCTGTTTAGGAACCTTTTCATGAAAGACGTGTTTTGGAGGGTGGAGAAGTTTGGGATAAGAAAGGGCCAGTGGGGACCTGGGAGGGGCGGAGAGGGCCACCTGGTGATGGTGTGCATCTGCCGCCCCCTGGTGGCCAAGTCTGGGCGCTGCAGGCAGCCGGTAACAGAAATAGTTGGGAAATGAGCCAGGTGGCTTTTTTGTATCTGTTGCCCTGTGGCGGCCCTGATCCATTGAATTAAAAGACCTGTGTAATGTTGTGGCACCACCAGCTCATGCTGAGGGTCGTTAATGAGAAACAGCCCTTTGGAACCTGCAAAGACGGTGGCCAGGTGGCGGTTCCCACATCCCAGCAGCCTCTCATGGGGACCCTGCAGGAGATTTCTGCCCCAGCCTAGAATAGTCGCACTCCTCAGCACGCTGTGGCTTTTTATCTCCGGGACCTTGTGAGCTGAGAACTGGCCGCTCTGTGCTCACCCTTGGCAAGCGTGGTTATTAAGAGCTTTCACCTTGTGTGCCCCACCCCCCTGCCCGCCACGTGTTGTTTCTTTGTTCTTTCCTCCCACTTGGTGTATGCCACCATCCTGAGATAGCTGACTCATCCTTGGAAACCACCTGAAGTGTTTTCAAGAGGAAGGTGGGGTGTAATAAAGAGCACAACGAGCTCATTAATCGTCTCCTGTCCCTGGGACGTGGGTGGCATTATTACCCCAACTTTACAGATGAGGAAACTGAGGGCCAGAGAGGCCAGAGTAACGTGCCCAAGCCAGGAGGCAGCAGCCACACACTCACACTCCAGCTTCAGAGCTGTTCTTCCCACTGCTCTCCGTGTTGGATTAAAAGGCTGCGTGAGAGTTAGTCGGCAGAATGTTCCAGCACAGCCCTACGGGGTGGGGGATGTGGGAGGAGGGCAGAGCCCCGGCAAGAGGCAGCTGGAATAAAATCAAGAACACCCTTAGGGGTCCCTGCCTGCCAGCTCAGGGCTCAAAAACCAGCCCCTTGGACTCTGAGCACGGCCGTGTTGCTCTGGGAGGGGGAGGCCTGGGCTGTGGAGCCCGGCGTGGTGGGATCCGAGCCCTGCTCTGGCCTCGCCAGCCGTGGAGCCTGGACGGACAGTTTCTTGTGTTCTGAACCCTATTTCCCTAAGAACACAAAGGAGGTATGGTCGTCAATACCTCATGGGGTGTGTGCAGATAGGATGAAATTGTGCGGCAGGAGTGCCTGGCACAGGGTAGTGCCCGATGCCCTTTCCCCTGACTCCCCTGTGCGCCTCCCTTGGCCCAGGCGGTGGGACTCGCCGCCTGTTGAAGGTCAGCTGTTCCATGACGGTGACACTCACACATCAGTTAGGAAGCACAGCGATAAAACGGACACTGAGATGCCCACCAGCTTCAGCCCGAGCCGTTACCCGTGTGGTCGAGGGGGCCCCGGGCACTGGGGACCCCTCCTGCCCCGGCTCCTGCCGCCCCCAGAGCTAACCTCTGCCCACCGCTCCTTTGGGCTTTGTGCATCGTTGTGTAACATGCAGCTGCCCCTCGGCAGCGTGGGGCTCAGCTTTGCGAGTTCTTGAGTTTGATATAAACGATGACTTGGCGGTACGTGGTCTCTGCGTGTGCCTGTGTGCCCTGTGTGTGCCCTGAGCAGGGGCTGGTGTGTTTGGGGAGTGGGAGGACGTCGTGGGGCACAGGTTCTCTATGGTCCCAGCTCCATCCCATTCCCGCCTCATTTGTCCCGGCCCCTCCTGTCTTCAGGCCTCTCCTGGGACATCCTGCCCTTCCCAGGAGCCCTCTGGTCCCCGCTGACCCTGGCCACTTCCTGTAGCTCTCTCCCCCGGGCCTGGCTCGGCCGGTTACTGTGCCGTCTCCCTGATAGACCGGAACCTTCCGGGGAGCAGGAGCCAAGCTGGTCCTGTCACGGTGACGTTGCAGTGCCGCGTGCCTGCGAGGGGCCCAGCGCTCGCCTGTGGGGCGGTGACCCCGCGTTCCTGGGGGGCAGGGTGGCCTCGAGCAACATTACAGCCTCTGTCTCCTCTCCCCAGTCGAGAACACCGCACACTGTGAGTTTGCTTACCTGCGCGACCTCCTCATCAGGTGAGATGCCGGTGCCGGGGGCTGGCAGCCTTGGCCCGAGAGGGCCCCAAATCAGGGGTGGGCGCTGGGGAGTGGGGAGGTTCTGGAGCAGTGGGCACGTGCCACCCCGCTCCTGGGAGAAGCTCGGCAGTCCGTTCTCTAAAACACCTTCCTGGGAATGAAGCGGGGAGTGAAGTCCTTTTCACCTCCACATGGGACGGGCTGAGTTCTGACCCCTGCGGCCTGAGTGTGTTAGATTCAGGGCCCCAGGAGGTCTGGTGTGCCGAGCACAGGGCGTCCCCACTCCCATCTCAGCGTCCTCTGACCTCACCCCTTTGACCTGGCTGAGGCTCCTCCTCGGTTTCCTTGAGCTCAGGCAAGGAGTAGCCCATCCTTGATCTATGAGAGAGGGGGCTGGGGCAGGGAGGGCTGGGCAGGTGACGGGGGTAGGGTACCAGGGCCTCCCAGCTTCTCAGCCAGCAGGGAGATGGGGTCCAGGGATGAAGTCAAGAGGAGGGACGGGGCCATCTCTTGGGACCTCCAGGTTGTGGGGGGTGCAGCTTCTAGGAGCCAGCCCAACCTGTTGGGGAGCCTGGCTGAGGAAGGACACCCCACCAAGGCCTTTCAGACCCACCCGGAAACCTGTCCTATTGAGCTGCAGAAGAGGGGAGCTTGAGCACAGGACCAGCAGGGTCGACTGGCCCTCCAGCCCAGGCTGCCTGCCCGCTGCAGCGACCACTGTGGTCACTCACTGCCCCTTACCTGCCAGCACCCTTGGGTGCCGGCCTGGTGCTTTGGGACTGGAGCAAAGACCCCCCAGCACTGGCCACTGCCAGGGGCCTCTGGCTCTACCCACTCTGAGCCTGCACCCAGCCCCCATCCTTGGATTGGCCACAGGTTGACACAGAGGTGGGGCTGTGTTAGGACACTGTGTCCTGAGAGGGTCTGGGGTTGCCGTGGAGACGGCCCCCCACCTCGTGCCCAGGCCTGGTCCGCTTGGTGGGCCTACAGCATCCCGCTGGGGGACCCCACGGGGAGCCATGCAGAGGGGTTGGGGGTGGGGAAGGCAGGCGGCGGGATCCCCGGCCAGGCCGAGCGCAGCTCTGCTGACCTCCCTGTGCCCCTCCCAGGACGCACATGCAGAACATCAAGGACATCACCAGCAGCATCCACTTCGAAGCCTACCGCGTGAAGCGCCTGCATGAGAGCAGCAGCGCCATGTCCAACGGCGTCGAGGAGAAGGAGCCTGAAGCCGAGGAGATGTAGGCCCCGCCTGCCCCAGGACCCTGCCCCGTCTTTTCCGCCCCCCCGACCCGCCCACAGCCCCCTTTTATTTTATATAATTTTCTCCATGTGTCGTGGTTCTCCGCCCCTTTCCACGCTGCCGAGTAACAAGATAACGAGTTCCCTCTTGACTATGTCCGTCATTAGCCGCTGACTGTGGGGCCCCGGGCGGGGTGGGGCCTCGGAGTGGAGGCCGGCTCTCTGGCTGTCCTGAGGTCTGTGGGAGCTGGACCGTGGCCAGGAGGGTGGGAGAGCACCCACTGAATCAGCACCAACCCCAGACCCCAGGCCCAGAGGAGCCGCCCCTCCTCTTGGTCCCCCTCGGCCACAGCCCCTGGAGCGTGGCGGGGTTGTGCCCACGGGAGGATGGAGCCATCCTGGTGGACCTGGAGCCCCTTCCTGCCCGCCGCCTCCCCACATGGCGTGGGCGGTCACTCAGACCATGTAACTCAGAGAGCCCCCTGCCCTTACCCCGCTCCCAAGGGAGAATAGTTAATTCCACGAGATGCAAGTTGCCAATTGCTTAGACGCGGCGAGCCTGTCCCGGAGCAGAAAGTGCCTTTATCTCTGCCGTCCATGGGAGCCAGCAGACTCCCCAGCTGTCCCCTCAGAAGGGAAATCGGGACAGTTTGCAGTGAGGGAGGTGTCTCTTCATCTCCCCGTTGCCCCCTCCCCCCTCGCTGGGGTTTGATTGAGAATTAAAAGGAAGGAACAAGGTGCACCCCACCCACCTCTCTGACTTTGGGGAAGATCCAAGCAAGTGAATCCGGTGGAGGAGCTGAGGGAGGAAGCGATGGCGGGTGCAGAAGGAACAGGGGGCCGTGTGGACCGTGGCTGGGGAAGTTCAGTGGCCCGAGAGGCCTTGGTGCCTGCCCAGTGTGACTGGCAAGTGTGTGTGTGTGTGTGTGTGTGTGTGTGTCTGTTCAAACATCTGTTTGGCCCAAGATGCTCTGGTTAAATTAAGGCCCAGTCGGTCATCCCAGACACACGCTCGGCCCTCTCGTCCAGGCCTTCCTGACGCCTGGGAGGTGGGAGGCCAGGCGAGCCTGACTGTTACCCTGTGTATGCCTGGGCCCCTGCACCCCAGAGCCCATTGAAAAGACCCCCAAAGAGGGAGAGGCTGGGAGCCAGGTGTTCACAGCCCACAGCCGGCCGCAGACAGGGTTCACGTCAGCACGGCCCGGCCGGTCTCTCCTGCTCCCTCACCCTCGCTCCACCGGGGGACCAGCTGGGACCGTCCGTGCTGTGCACAGCAGAACTCGTGCTGCTTCCTGCCTCCTGGAGAGAGGACCCGGCTCAGGCTGACGAGATTAGACACGGGTGAGGTGCACGTCCATCTGCGGACACCAGGCTTGCTGCCTGCAGCCGAGGAGAAGAACCGTGGGAGGAGGGGACGCAGACAGACCTGGGGTGCGCGGGTGTGTGCTGGCATGTGTGTGTGCACAGATGTCCCTGCCTTGCGTCTCCTCCCTCCCCACCTAGGAGAGGCAGGACCCCTTAGCAAAACACTTTTCTTGCCGACTTGCCATGTTTTTGCCAAAACCAGGAATTTGAAGGACTTGCCCATCTCCAGCGGGGGGTTCCGGGACGTGGGGCGGCCATCTCGGGGGGCGCGCTCCTCCAGCCTCGTGCTGCGGGGGCTCTGCGGCAGCCCACCCGGGATGGCTTTGCTTTCCTTCCCTGTAGCCGGATTTTGAAAAATTGTTAGTCTCGCCGGAATCTGTTCCACAGTGGCCTTTCGCTCTGTGCCTCCTGAGAAATTCGTCTCTTTTTGTATAAATAACTAAGTGTTGACAATGTATTTCCTGAAATAAATGTTGCAAATGCAAACCTGGAAGGCTCCGTCCAGAGCCGGGCTTTTTCTCTTTTCTGACCCTGGAAGCAGCAGTTTTGCTTTGACGAGAGTGAAGATGGTGGCAGGGTGCTTGCTGGGGAATTGTCTGATCCCTTTGAGGGGATAAAAGGGTTCTGGAACCTAGAAACACTCGTGTGTGGGGGCTCTTGAAAAGTGAGTGCAGGGGCCGGCCCCGTGGCCCAGTGGTTAAGTTTGCGCGCTCCAATTCAGCGGCTCAGGGTTTCACCCGTTCTGATCCTGGGCGCGGACATGGCGCCGCTTGTCAGGCCATGCTGAGGCGGCGTCCCACATAGCACAACTAGAAGGACCCACAACTAGAATATACAACTATGTACTAGGGGGCTTTGGTGAGAAGAAGAAGAAGAAAAAAGAAGATTGGCAACGGATGTTAGCTCAGATCTTTAACATAAAGTGCGAACGCGTGTCTTCCTGTGCTCAGTGAAGGTGGCTTTGAAGGGTTTCCACAGGGAGGCGCTGTGAGCTGCTTCGGTGAGTGTATTCTTGGAAATAAGTTTTTCTTAAAATTTAAATCTGTTGTATTGAACCCTATGAACTTGTTAGTATTTGATAGTTTCATGCCAACTTCACGTATTCCAAGAGAACGTGGCCCCAAGGAGACTGGAATTCAAGAGACCGCTGTCCGAGCTTTTCTCTGCCCACCACCAAGAGCTTGGGGAGCAGGGCCGAGCGGGTCTGGTCTCGGGTCCTTTGCTGTGCACGCGTCTCACCAGTTCCTTTCCCGCGTGCAGGGGTGTCCTGGGGCCGTCACAACAAAGTACCACAAACTGGGCGGCATCATACAATAGAAACTGAATCTCACAGTTCTGGAGGCCAGAAACCGAAGAGCAAGGTGTGGCCAGGGCCGCGCTCCCCCTGGCGGCCTCTGGGGAGAGTCCTTGGCCTCTTCCAGCTTCAGTGGCCGCATCACTCCAATCTCTGCCTTAAGTGGCCTTCTCTGTGTCTCCTTTCCTGTCTGTAAGGCACTCTCCTTGGGTTTCGGGCCCACCCTCATCCGGGATGGCCTCATCTGGATTACCCTAATACATCTGCCAAGACCCTATTTCCAAATAAGGCTACATTCTGAGAATCTGAGAGGGCATGAATTCTTTGGAGGAGGGGCAGTGGTCTCCCCATGACCCCTGGCTTCCCTTCATCTCAGGGCCATGGGGACAACACGGGCAGCAGAGTGGTAAGTGGAAAAGCTCTGAGTTGGGACTCAAAAGATTTGGGTTCAAGGTTTGCTCTGCCACCAACAGGCGGGGTGGCCTCAGGACTGTCTCAGTGCCCTGGGCCTCCCCTGGCTCTTCTGGCTCGTCTTGGAGAAGGCAAATGGATTTCGTCTCCAAGTGAGTCAGCAGGCACTGGCCACCTGGAGCCTCTACTTTGAGATTCTGAGGTGTGTCGTCAACTGCCGATGTCTGCCATGGGCGTGGGAGGAGGGGAGGGTCAGCCCTGCCGACTCGAGGCCGCGCAGCCGCTGACGGCTTTGCCAGGTCCCTCGTCTACACCTCTTGACATCCTCCACCTTGGAGCCCTCCTCTTCCTGCAGACTGAAGCTGTCCCGTTGTCCGCCTGCCGCCCATCCTTGTCCCTTGGCTACTCCCCGGCCCAAGGGGCTCCGAAAGGAGCTGCGTGGTCCAGGCTGGACTGTCGCCAAGACATCCTGGGGATGAACACGAAGCCCCAAGGATGGGCCCCAGCCTCGTGCCGGCTCTGAGCACCTGCCGGGGGTGGGGAGTCCCGAGGGGGCTGTGGAGACCAGGTGCCCTGTGCCCGCGCCTTCCCTGCTCTGGGCCGGAGGGTCTGAACAAGTCAGAAAAATCTGATCAAAGCAACAAGCAGCCTTCCTTTCCCAGATGCTGCCTGTGTGTGTCTTTGCATCTGGTGAGGACCCACGGCATGCGGGCTCCACGCCGGGGCCGGGGGAGCCAGGTGCAAATCAGCTGACTCAGGAGGGGTCTCCGTTTGGATCTGTATTTATGGATATGCCCCCTCCCATTTTTAAACACTACTTTTTGACTATAAAAGTAGCACGTACAATATAGACAATGTGGAAAGTGCCAGAAAAAAAAATACACCACAAACAAATGAAAAACCGATGCCATCCTCCCCACCAGCACCAACCCTGGGTGGGGGGGGGTGTCTGTAGCCTAATTGTCATTCTCTTGATGATCCCTCTGGGTTGCTTTGTATCTAGCTTGATTTGGTTTTGGGGAGCACTTGGGGTTGGGAGGGGCTGGTGGGCGGAACATGGGGGGCATGCAGGAAGGCAGGGCCGAAGCTGAGCAGAGTTCTGGGCCGGACCCCAGTGTGCACAGCTGAGGGATCTGGAAGCATCCTGTGTCTCAGGTACCACCCCGAGGGGTCCCCAGCCCCCACCCCCAGAAGGTGGCCACCCCCTTTCTGCCCCAGCGGGGAGCCCAGGTGAGGCTGCCTGGTGCGGGCAGGAGTCCGGGTGCAGGCTGCAGAGGAGAGCCCAGCAGAGCCCTCTCTCCCCCTCCCCTCCGATTTCTGCCTCCCCCAATCCCGAGGAAGGAGAGTGGGAGGCTTCCCCGGCTCAGACCCCCGTGGTGCAGGCCAGATGCATTTCCTGCGTTTGGCGCTAGAATGCTTTCCAGATGTGGCGCTGCCCCAGGGCGCGTCCAGGAGGCCCAGGGAACCAGAACCAGCTGTGTGGGGGACGCTGGCCCCACGCCAGCACACGGGTCAGTTATTGATGGAAGCGTCACCGTGAGGAACCCAAACCTGCCGGTCTCCCCTTGGAGAGTCCTGGGAAGGCTGCCATCCCCCGGCTGCAGATCCCGCCCTGCTCCCAGGGCCCTGGCCTTTTCCAGGAAGTAAAATTTGTTCTGGCTTTTCTTTGATAATATTAGCAATACCTGCTCATTGTAGAAAGTTTGAAAAATAAAGAAAAGCAAAAACAACGACCCTAACGACACCCATTCTGGAGTCCACCGCTGCCGGTCAACCTGCTAACGTGAAGAAATTAGAGATGTTATTAAAAGCATATGCACACTTTCATTGTTCCTGTTTTTCCAAAATTAATCTCAGGTGGTGATATCATTTTGTAACCTGAATTTTTACTCTCTATCAATGAGAATTTACCCATGTTGTTATGTGTTTTTGGGAAAGAGGGTTTTAATAGCTGTACAATACTCCGTCGTATACCCGCATCTCATTTCCTTAAATGATGATTTCCAAGCTTTTGCCCTTGTCAACGGGCTGCACCTGGAGACCTGGTGGGGGTGCCAGCCGTCCCTGCCCCCTTGCAGGTGAGAGAGAGGTGTCTGTTGGAAGAAGCGACTGGAAATTGCTCAGAAACGCAGCTGGAAGGGTCTGTGTAGACCCAGAGGAAGGAGGGGCCTCCAGGACGGTGTCCGCCCCTCCTTCCCTCGCCTCACTTTTCCATCGAGGCTCTCGTGTCTGCGTTTGCCTTTTGGCTTGTGGATGGGCAAAGCATCCTTGTGAGAGCTTGCACACGGACCCTCCCACGCGGTCTCGCAGAGCTTGGGGGTCAAGGCACAAGGCCATTGCTTGACTCTATTATGTTCATTTCTGAGCTTCTTCCTCACGTAGATTCAAATAGGCAGCTGGGCACCTCTGGAATTTGGGCCCGTGTGAAAGACCCCAGGAGGTCACCCCCTAAAGATCACATATTGAGGACCCCAGTAGAGGCCAGAGAGATGAAAGTGGATGCGATGGCCCCTGCACACTGCACTGCGTCACTCATGGGCCTGCTGTCCGCGGGGTGTCCCTGGGCCTGCAGTTAACTGTCTGAGCCTCGCTCAGGGAGCTCCTCTCACCCATGGGGACGAGGGCCACAATTTTTCCTTCACTCGGCACTGGGAGAGAGACCAGCAGGCACAAACAGCCCCATGGTTGTGTGTTGTCCATCATGGTAAGTGGTGGATCGAGAAGTTTGGGGGCTGCAGGGTCATATAATGGGGGCGTCCGGCCCGTCTGGGGATGGGCAGCAGGAAGGGCTTCCTTTGTGTGAAGGCCCGAGCCAGGAGAGAGCATGGAGGGAGGAGCCGGGGGGCCAGAGAGGCTGGGAGGCAGGGAGGGGGTGCGGGAGAGGCTGGCGAGGGCCGTGCAGGGGCTGGTTCCAGCCTGAGCCGAGCCCCTACCTGCACAGGCGCTGCATGCGCCCCACAGGGGCCATGCATACCCCGTTCACAGGCCCCTGCATCCAGCGCCAGGCCCCACGGCTCTGCCCCGTGCCCTCTGCCTGTGCTCCCAGCAGGGCCACAGGCAACGCAGGGCTTGTCCGGGGACACCTGATGGCAAAAGTCCTCCAGGCCAGCCCTCTGTGGCTCTCAGAGACAGCCCTGGCCAGGCGTCCCAGCCGCCGTTTCCCGGAGAAGCAGCAGATTCCACCGGGCCTTAGAGGGTTTGCAGCTGAATGAATGCCGGGAGCCCAGCGGAGGAAACATGCTCCTTCCTGTTCAGAGAGGAGGACGGCTATAAACAATGAGAATAAAAAGAGAGTCTAAATAATTAAAGCTGCCGAGAGTGAGTGAGTCTTGAACCGTCTGCCTGATTTAAAAACTAATTACTTGGAGAGTTGTCATGCCAGGGAGCTGCTGCCTGTTACCCACAATGCCCTCCTCTCCCTCCTGCCCCTGCCCCTCCCCCACCTCCCCCACCTCCTCCTCGGGTTCCAGGAGCACCAGCATCCTGCTGATGAGCCAGTCCTGGCATGTAGAGAACTGCCACGGCCTCTCCATTGCCCGATCAGAACTTCATCAGAGCCCAACTCAGGAAGAAATAGGATTCCCCTGCGGGAAACGGCCACGTGGAGGGAGCGTGTGGGAGAGGCGCCAAGGACACGGCCCAGGTGGAGCTGAGTCTGGGGCCGGGGCACTCAGGAAGCCCCAGGGGCAGCTTCGCCAGCCTGACCAGGGGGGCACTGCTCAGAAGCAGGACTCTGCCCAGCCTCTGCGTCCCATCAGGGACCCCACGAGGGGGCTTGGGGATGTACC